TTCTGGGATCAGAATCAAAATCGCAGATATACTGCTGGTTAGTAATTCATCAGTTTGTCTAGCAGACTCAGCACCTACCCGAGAGAATTCGGGATCAAAAACTAAAGACTGGACTTTCCAGGTACATGATAAGAACAGGCGGCACTCATTTGGTTGGTGCCATATCAATCCTGTACTACTCATTTGTTCCAGAACCGTGCGACAAACGGTGCTGAAAGCAACTGAGGCGGGGACCATTCCGTTTCTTGACCCCTCCTTGCGTGCTCAAAGTCGCAGGTGAATACTGAAATTTCCTTGGCCCACAAATCAGAGTCTCCAACAAACAAATAAAATAGATAAAGCTCTTGGTAAGACATTTCAGAACCTTCTTAGTCCTGTTGTATATTTTATAGCTGTAATTGCCTGAGGTAACTCTGTTGGCATTATATGTCTGCAAGCCTATGTATGCTTATTTAAAACCGGAACGTTTATGAAAATTCCTGTATCTGTTATGAGGTGCTTCGATGGAATATCCAAGCTAGTTTGACGAAATCCTAAATTGTCATGATAGCAATTTATTTACTGGAAACGAGATATCCTGAAGACGTTTTACGTTGTCCATAAAATTCATACTGAGTCGTTATCTGCCTTCTGAAATGACGCTTGCAGATATCCGACGAGTCATTATTAACCCTACGGGGGAATAGTACATAGAATATCAGGTCATTTTAACGTGGAAAATATTTGGTATGCCTGTTAGAAAGAAACCCAGCAACTGACAAATGTGGAGCAGGGCCGGTTCAACATATATTGTTTGTCAGCAGACTACTTGTGGTTCATCAGTCACTAATCCTACAGTATGAGATACGAGCATTAACTCAGAAGAAATCAGCCAGTAGCACTGTGTACGGCAATGGTAAAGGTGATACTATGGCAACTGCTGCTATAGAGTTCTTCCCCTCCAAGAGAAAGTTCCATGCACTTTCAAACTTCCTGCTAGATTGGAATTTTTCTCCTCGGCAGAAAGTGACCGATCAGAACACTTCGCAGGTTTTTTTCACATCTTATTCGTATCCATGTTATCCAGGCAACTCTAGTGAGAATTGTGTGAACTTATCTTTATCCTGTAGGCTAAATTTTAAGCCAAATGGAGTGAAGTCTACAAATTAACTGATGGAATCCATATGAAACTATCCAGACGATGTCGTCTAGCTTCAAGTTAGCGTTATCCATACACTTCAGAAGTCATTTATTATCGGGACTATGATCTAAGACCATCAAGTGTTCTTTAAAGTAGTGCTTCAAGCACGGCGCGCTGATTGGTTATCACACCTGAGTTGTGCTGATCACAAACATTTGAGAATACAGGTCAGTCCGACCCAACATCTGTTGTCTGTGTGCATTCTGATGCGATTTCCTCGGAAGGAGTTGACGATCAGCCAGGTAAAAACACATTACAAATATCAGAACGGTTGCAAACTGAGCTCCAGACTGACGATAGATGTATCAATTAAGGGGAAGTGTGGTGATTGGTAATAACATCCTTCGTATGTTTTACTGTTTGAATTGACGTATCAGACACGCACAACGCATAGGTATGTAGGAAACACTTGCTTTTTCCAAACCACATAGATTTGTTCTTATTCTCATTGTTTTTGTATCTTAAAAATACACCTACTAGGTGTGCTGAGCGCAAGGCTGGCGAAACATATCGCAACAAAACACAGTTCCAACCAAGCAATATTCGCAATTGCCAGTGTCTAATGAAAGACTTACGAGGAACATTTCGTATATCGGTTAGTTTCAAAATCATACTGTTTTTCGGTTTGGTGGCCCTAATCTTCTGACTGGCTAGTAAGACAATAACAGTTGAGTGCGACTTTCAACAGTTTGGTCCGCATGCCACAGTGCCGTTCGGCTCACTGAAAATTGAGGTCAGTAGTTTACTTACACAGTTCTTGCTCACTCGCTAAGAACCTACCTGCTCCCTTTACTTACTAACTTGGTTACTTAATTACTTGCTTACTTTACTTACTTTACTTACCTGTTTGGTCACCCTTTTATTCACCTGCTTACTCATGCATTTAAATGCTTTCTTACTTGCTTACTTGCCTACTAATTCGAATACTCGATTTATTACTCATCTACGCAACTACTCAGTTGGTTCTTGCCACTGTTTCCCGGAAACCTCATGACTTCCAGGCCCTGATGAGTCGAGCTCGACTAAGAAACCGAACATAAATGACAGCACTTCACTGTTCACGCGCTCGTTCTAGGATTTGTGAGGTGTGTGGCGGCACGTCAAAGCTTCATCTACCTCAGAGTTCTCCGCCACAATGCATCCGGATGAGAAAGATGGAGGGACATAGTTTCTCGATGTAGTTGATGATGTATTCATCGCGAAACCTAGTCTCTCTGGCGCTGAAGAGTCTTGGAAGGTTATCGGCAAAATCACAGGTGAGTAAAAAAAATGGCAAACAGAAGCACTAGGTGTAATGGTAACAATACTTTTACCTGTGTTCTGGCTAGGACTAAACTTGCAGTCTCCTTCATTGTAAACTTCCGCAGTGAACTTCCACTGTCAGACATAGTAAATCTACCCTCAGGAATCTTAAATTACCAAACCCATAGCTAGTGATTGAATGATGAGTTCGATAGGTCTGGCGCATGACCGACCGACGGAGTTGAAAATCGACCACATAACTGGGCCTAGTCTGAAATAAAGTGGGGTATATAGCCCGATACTTTGACTTCTGCTTGCAGTGTACTGCTGAATCTCTTGTTTTCACAGAATTTCATTGTGCCCACTCAGCGGTGGCTTTTACGTCATCCCCGCGTCTTCCAACACTTTGCTGCTATGCGTACTGTCCAGGCCATTCTCACTTAGTTGTGTCTTAGTCCTTCCCGTTTACTCCGTCCAAGATTTAATTTCGTGTAGTTTGGCTACGATAATCCTCTGTCTTTCTGTGGAAACACAAAGATTTGAAGTCTATTCCTAAGATAAGCTTTGTCCCAAAGCCTATGTTTGCTGAATAATGCGAACGTGAAAGTGAAATGAGAAAATTGCGCAGTGATGAGTTCAATTCCATCAGCGTTCAGAAAGTGGCGATGAACACAGTAGTCTCCGCCAAAAATCTAGGAGACCTTGAAATGGTGTGTGCAACCCTGCCATTGTCACTCGATGCCTAAAAACCACATTTTCCCTCATAGTTTGACTGCTATAAAACACATATCCTACATGGTTTCTTTGGTGTCGAATAATTATATCAGCGCTTTGAATCCTGCAGTGCATCCTGACGCACACCTCCTTATGTCGTCGTGAAGCTGCTGACATGTCCTTGCCATCTGTGCCTTTTCCGCGGCTACACATTGAGGCAAACGAAAAGAACAAGCCTGGGACCATATGGTCTTTCTGGAAGGTACGCTTTTGTGAACACGCTTGAAAATCCGCAACTTCAAGTAGACGTGAGTTACACTTTCATAAAAGGATTAAAGTCCGCAGAAGTCTAAGTTATGTTGGAGAGAAATCCTGAAGGCGCACAGTATTTCGCTGTCTATCAGTTTCCCAGTGGAAGTGACAGCTTCAAACCCTCACTAAAGAATAATACGTTGCCTATTTGAGCGTCAAGCTATGTGCGATTTTTCCGAAATTGCATTGCACCTGAGAGTACAGCTCAAATGGCTAACTCATTTTCACCTGACGGCTTCCACAATCTGCCCACGACAGCAGATTTCCGGAAGCGTTTTTCCTTCCCTGGTGTGAACGGCCCTGACTACCATACCATTGAACCGACGACCAAGTAACGAGACTTTCTTCATTCGCATGGTAAATCAGGCGGACATGCCCGAATGCGTAGTTCGGTTACGGTGGACGATCAGTAACTCTCCCAAAGTATTTACCTATTTTCTTTATGGGGTTGTTCCGACGTTCCAATGAATTGATTTTACTGTTAAGATTGAATTTGACTTCTGTGATTATTGCTCGTATATTATATTTAGGTTTCATATAATGTCCGCCGCCCAAGCTAGAATTTTCATTCATATTGGTTACTCAAAGCTAATCTTGATGTTCCTTCAGTGAGAATGACAGCCAACTGTTAGGAGAACCAGCTCTGAACACAACTGCTAATGGAACGGATTTAACGGGTTGTTCTTCCATTGTCCCTGATAGATGAGTCCTATTTTTAGTGCCATTTTTGACCTACCTAGAACTTTCCACATGAGCTTTGTAAACAGCCCGTTTTCGGCTGCACATGACACGCCTGTATGCGTCAGTGTTCAATAGGTCATCTGATTCACACTTCTATTGACATATATAAACAAAAATAATGTGGCTCCTGGGTCAAGTAATAAAATGGCTATCTTTTGGTAGTTTTAAATATTTTCTGTATCATTCCAGGCTGGACCGTTATGTGTTAAGGCTGACAGGGAGCGACCCAATCCCATCTGATATTTGGCAACTACTGGAAGGTTTCCGTCCCGAATTCAGAACATCTTATGTTCAGTTATGTGTCCAGACATGTGTAAAAGACTCAGTTTGTCTGGCTAAGATTCTGTGTCAAACAATCAGTGTCTTGTTCCACAAACTCGAGTGCTTTCACACATGAAGTTTCTTGGATTGGAAAACCAAGAAAAAACATATCAATGGCCGGCACAACTGTCAAACATCTCCTATCGAGCATCCGCAATCCAACTATAGTCCTGAACACAAAGAATACGCTACTTTTTTCACGAAACAGAAACGTGTTTTTCAACATTAATGGCGTAGAAGTATCGTGATATCGAAGGAAGATCACTACCTGGGGAATACCACAAGGTCTTTTCGTCGCCGTCAAGAGTATTGATGAAGTGCGGTTTGCAAAGTCACCAAGACCAACACATCAGTATTGTGTTTCTTGAAGTTCGCTCGACGGATAAACTTCGCAAAGCCAACCAGATAGAACACATTCGTGGCTCATGCAACAGCACCAATCCAGCCAGCTTGTTTGAAGGCTGACTGGACAACACGAACACCAACTTACCAAGCTGAAACAAACACCGTAGGAATCGTTTGAAATACCGCGAACAAGAGCCGCAGCATCCAGATTACGTAGGTTACAAAGGCGGGAATGAGACCATACTGCACCCAGAAAAAAAGTCGGAAGGAAATGCAACTTGTCGTTTCCAGCTTTATGGGCTCAGCTGTAATTGGAAAGGGAAAGATATGAATGACGCTGTATCTTACACATCAGTGCATTAGATAAAAATTCACATATTTGTACCATCTTAAGTAGCATAACAAGTACCTAGTTATCGAAAAATGCTCTTATTTGCGTTTGGTTCTGACAAGAGACAACTAAAATCAGCTAAATCTCCAGTCTAAGATGGTTTCCTTTAAACAAATTTGCTGCGCAAAGGCAGCTTATATTCCAGATATTTCAATATTTTTTCTAGTCATGATGGGTTACTCATAAGGCGGGTCGAAAAGTTTTCAGCAACCTTACTGGTAGTATGTTATGTCCAAACAAAAAAGTACCTGATTTCTTCTCGTAGCTTATTACCTATTCTGGCTAACTGAACACCCCTCCTCATTGCCTCAAATTATCCTATGGATTATTATACATTTTCAAGGTTCTAATTTTATGGTCCTGTTTGGAAAGCACTTGTGGAAAACATGAAAAAACCCACCTAGTGTAAACATCAGCAACAAATTTCCGCCTACCAGAAGCAGGACTGTGACAAGAAACAAGATCTGCACCAGCGGCACGAGCAACCATAATCCAGGAAGATCACGGAGTACCTTGGATACCAAGCTCATTAGCCGCTGCGTTGCATTCAGATTGACCNGAAAAGTTTTCAGCAACCTTACTGGTAGTATGTTATGTCCAAACAAAAAAGTACCTGATTTCTTCTCGTAGCTTATTACCTATTCTGGCTAACTGAACACCCCTCCTCATTGCCTCAAATTATCCTATGGATTATTATACATTTTCAAGGTTCTAATTTTATGGTCCTGTTTGGAAAGCACTTGTGGAAAACATGAAAAAACCCACCTAGTGTAAACATCAGCAACAAATTTCCGCCTACCAGAGGCAGGAATGTGACAAGAAACAAGATCTGCACCAGCGGCACGAGCAACCATAATCCAGGAAGATCACGGAGTACCTTGGATACCAAGCTCATTAGCCGCTGCGTTGCATTCAGATTGACCATCCTCCATTTGGAATTTGGGTGCCAAAGTTTGGTTGTGATTAACAGTAGAAGGAACTGCAAATACAAGATTAATATAGAACGCTCAAAACTGACATTCTTTTTGACCAGAAACCCTCACTCAGGAAGTCGCGACTACCCCATCAAATGTTTCTACTCTCTTGTACCATCAAGGGACTTCCAGTTTTCTACGACTGCAAAAAGCTTTCTTTCTGCGGTGAACAAAATGTTTTAATGATAGTTATAAATTTAGCGATGGTATTTGACTTTCACCAGGTGCAATTAGCGTAATTACCTAACAGTAATTACCTATAAGCAGTCAATTAGTTGATGACGCCTATAATCTAATACGTTTATTTCAAACAACAATGACAGAATTCAAACCCGAGGAAGTCTACGCACATCCAAGCGGTCTGTTACCACGGTGCAAATTGATAAAATCAAATACAATGCTTCTTTTTCCGTTCCCATTCCGTTCAAAATTCGGTCATGGTCAACATGTACAGGTGACTTTGTCAATTTCTACTCTATAGATAGGTTTGAAATCGATCACAACCACAGCCGCAAATTTTGCAAACAACAGAATAGTAATCGATGCAATCTATGCTTATAAAAATGTCATAAAATTAGCGAAGAGTAATATAATGAAGTTTAGTATATGCATAAGTCACCATAGTACCAAGTGACATAATATGTAATGTAAGATATATATGACAATGCAGCAATGTACATATATAACAAATAATACAATAGCGAATAGTGCACAACATGATATAATGATATTATTCAGCCTATAAGCCTGGGCCGTCTGTGGCGTCAACTGCTCTCGAAACAGATGGGCCACGTGCTCACTCTCAACTTGCGAACACTTTGACTGTCACACTTTTCCGAAAGTTCCTTTGGCCAGAAAAAAGGGATGCATCTTGCGTTATCTTTCTTGTGGGCCAGTTTACCTCTTATATTCATTCCATGCTAAGTTAAAGTGTTAGTATCCGGTTCACTTTAGATTCAGCGTTACTAATGAGACATTTACAACATGCGGGTATCAACGTCCGCCGGTTATGTGGGAGGATCACTAAAGTTAATTGTTCCCTTTCCATGAGTTGACCACCTTAATGGTCCGTGGAATAATTCAGCCACAATTTTGGTACTTCAACTGTTCCAGGAATAACGTCATGTTCGGACATGCTCGGCAGCAGAACTCGAGTTCCCAGTAAGAGAGAACCCCACTGTCCGTACATTTTATGCATAGAGAATAGCGAAGAAATAAATTTTAAACCAACTCACCCATGCAATGCAGCAGGAACAGATGAGCAGCACGAACAGTGCCTGACCAAATCGTTCGAGTGAGTGAAATAGTTGACCAGGCCACCAGCCAAGCCGAACATTTAAACTGTGGTGCACTATGGCCCGTGAAACGAGCAGGGAGAAAGCACCTGAATGAAAAATAAATTGAGTTCAACATTAAACTATCTTGCGACATCAGCCACCAATAACTGTGTATGCTTCTTATTTATTTGTATCATGAAATGGTCCAGGCAACTATTTAATAATTTGATAAAAATTAGATTTGCCTTACTGATGTCCATTGTACTGATCGGACGGTGTTCATGATCTGACGCGTAGATCATGATGGACAATACTCAAGTCCAAAAGAATGACCAGTCGGCTATCACTCAAAGTTCGCGTATATGTTGCACAATTTCAGTTCAGGTCACATTTGCTCCAAGGCCAGGATCGTCTTCATTCAGGAATCAAATACAAATTTTCAGCGCCAGCCTCACCATCAAAAAGAAACCTCAAACGCCGGCTATATCTCATTCAAATGGTCACTTGCCTGAGTATGTAAAATTTGAGGACAAAGGGGCCACCTGGTGAAAGCGAAAGAGGCCCTTTTTCCAACAGCCGTTCAGTAAAAACAAACACCCAGCTTAGTTTACGCCAAAGGAAGAATTAATTATTCATTCTTACTTCACCAATATTGGACGACGTTAGGAATGTTCCCTATCTTGCACAGCAGAAACCTAGATGACTGGATCTATAGGCCAACTGTTACAATAACGTGCCGTCAGGGCAGGGATGGAATCAAATGCACAACCTTACAAACACGGTGATGCAAATTTGTTGTGATGACAGAGCGGAGTAGAACCTCTCCCCAACGAACAAGAATGCCCTGAGAGATAACAGGTTTCCTGATACAGCAGAAAGAGAAACCATTTGTGTTAATCTTCTGCACATGGGCAATAAATAAGTTGAACCGAATAGAATAATTTATACAACCCCGAGATCTTCCCCCACTGTAACAGTTCAAACTTGGTTTATTAACCCGAACGGACAAATGAATAAAACTCATGTAGACTGGACACTGGAAGTGGGGGGGGGCAACAAACAGCACAAATGCATGGTCCCTAGATGACAGTTCCCTAAATGTTCCTTCATCATTTACAAAGTCCATCTTAATCGACCGCGTGTGACCGCACCTTTGTCTTGGCTAAGACAATGGCAATCTATTTATCCATCCGCCTACTTGGTTATTTACTAATTTACCCTCATGTTGTTTACCACTGTTTCCAGAAAAACACCGTTTCTGATATGCAGCCTAATTTCTTGTACAACTGGGCATACCACAATCTACCCAAAGACCCTTCTTGCTTAGTTCTTACCCCATACTGTCTCCATGGTAGTGTCTGCATTCAAAAGGAGGCAATACTACAGATCTTCTGTTGTTGCCAAATCGCTGTGTCTACTTGTACTTCTTTGCTTGTTACAGTCATTAAAAAACCGTACAGTCGACAACTGATGGCCGTTGTGCAGTTGTATCAGTTCATTCAAGGGATGGTATACACTGAAGAGGAATAACAAGGAAGACACGTACTCTTCGTCTTTGACCAACTGCATATCTGCCTAACTACACGCTGTATCTTGCGAACGGTTTTGCAACCTTGGTGTCGGCCGTTGGCTCCCTGCTCCGTCCACTATGGTTTGTCAAAAGGCCCGATAGCTTTAAACGACCTTCTATGGAGACGAACGGGAATTATCAAAATTGTAGTTATACAGTTATCAGGGAATCTTCCAAAAGGTCGTCCGGAATCTGTGTGATAGTGCGAAAAGCGCTGAGTTTAAAATGCTTGATTTTGATCGGCTCACTCTGACCAATCGGTAGAGACCGTCGCACGGCCCTTAGCCGACATGTACTAGATCCTACCAATCGACGTGATGTTTGGTTAGTTTGAGCGGGTCGCCTCCAGATACCAATATGAAAACTAGCAATTGGCATGCCAGCAAAATCGTTTTTCAGCTATGTTCTACGGTTATTCCAGTGATTCACAGATGAATTCGCATGAAAGAGGGTCAGGTCTAAGTTTCCTGGATGTTTTGCGGCCTTTTGATGAGTTGGTTTGTTACAGTCAAACCATAATCGCTGTATGAAAGATGTTGAACGTTATCTTCTATATGACTTGAGTAACTCATACTTTCCAACGCATCTTCAGACCGTCATTCAAATGGGTGAAGCCCATTTAGTCCTCTCAGTGTACAGTAAGCTCAATCTGGGCAGCAGCGCCGGCCTGATTTCATAAGCGCATTTGCCGTTTCACAAGCACAAGCTTCTCTCATAGATTCCCTTAGTCTTGCACAATGTTTCGTGTCATCATTTAAGTAGATTTGTTTTTCGTTTGCTATGGTGTGACAAGAGTAATGCACCACCATTGCTTATAATATGCTTTAACTAGAACAGAATCAGTAGAAACTTGCTAGACGTAATGAAGGATTTCAAACGCGTGATTCTTATTAACCGTCACTCGTTCTCCTGAAAATAGCAGGCAGTTACACTATGGGAGACATTTGGTTTCCATCTTTCGTATAAAGCTGCATGTCAACTTACTCTTCTAGAAGGGCACTTTATCATACTGACCAAGTAGTGTAAGCAGCACCCGAAAACGTGCTAATAAATTACCTACTTTTTATGGTGCTTCAAAAATTTTAATTTCGACGTTAACGTCCCCTCTTTTGTTTGAGTCCTATTGACACAATCGCTAGTGATTCATTCTTATGTTTACTAGTTTTGAGCACACAACCGGCCATGGGACAAGCATCTACCCATGACGAATGCTTGCACATACTGGAACAAATGCGTTTTATTAAAAACCATCTCCATAAAACTGGGTGTGCGGAAAACATAATACCCGTAATGTATACTGATAAAAGTGACTGTTATAAACCCTGTTATAAACGATAGATTCAGCTGGATTCAGTTGAGTATGTCATTAGAATTAAATTTCCATGCAAATAAGAGTAGTTGTTGAACCAAACTTATTGTTTTGGAGTATACCGATCCAGTAAAAAGATTTTGTTTTGCGTTGCACATGCTGATGTTTTCTACCCTTAAGACTTTCTCCAAACACAAATTTATTCACCAGTGTGCTATCGTCCCTCCTTTTCTGGTTTGTAACTGGACTGTGAGCTAGCATGCATTGCCAGTAACTGCCCTTAGGTGTTGGTTTTGGAAATCCGGTCCTGTTTTGCTAGAGGTTTTGGCCTTTAAAACCACAGTACAGTTAGCGAGTTACCTTTGGACTTAAACTCTACGTCCGCCTGGGCCCAGGCTTTCCGTTGCAACCTCTGGCTCAAAAAGTAGCTAGGCCTAGAACTAGTTGTTGCATTTTCTCCATCGTATACCGCATGGAAATAGAAAAGTATTCCCATGAATTCGTTGGTTTGACGAATTTTATCTTACCGAAAGTAAAATCTTGGTCCTATTTAACTGTTCATACGAGCTGGTTTTCTAGATGCTGTCCGGCTATTTAGTCAGGCAGTAGGACGTAGTGTCTAGCATCATAGGGAAACATGAGTGGCTCCAACGCTTTGCATGGTTGTCGGCTTGATGACCGAGCCTGCACTTCGACCGATAACGCCTCTTTACCAATGAAACAAAATGTTAGTACATGTACTGATGAATGTAAAGCATTTTTCGTTATTTTAGCAAATGTAGTGCCTAAACTTCTGGGACCTCACGATAAAAGGTGAATTACAATCAAACAGTCTGGTACTCCTTTGAGATATCTGCTTGTGTTACCATCGAAGACTATTTCGTTCTTGCTTGCAAAGAATACTCACAATATTCTGCACCCACAGCCTGGTTGATACTAGTGCAAACAAAACCAATCGAAAGCTAGAACAGCTCAGTCTAGCTAACAGTTATACTCAGTACCAATGTCCGACAATGGATCATTTGAATCAATAGATTAGCAATTATGCGGTGTAGCTTATTCCAACAAGTTGAACGAACAGTATGTTCTTCCACATTTTTATAGTCTACCGGGAGTATTACCTTTCTACCCCAAGAGGAGTTGGGAATCAACCAATGCAGGAAACAAAAAAAGAAACCTACCTATTAGGCCAAAGTGTGCAAGTACGAACAAGACCGGGATAGAATAGGTTGGGGTGCACATGACCAGCACCATGACGATGTAGGAAATACCTGAGTAGAAGAAGGAGTCAGTCTCAACTGAGCATGCATGAGTAGGTGCTTATAAACGCTTGGTCAACCAACGTTATAACTTTAAGTGTTTTAATGTTGTTGAACCACATCTAAAACGTTCAAAAGAGTATGTTTTTCAACGTATAAACAATAGGCAATACTCGTGCATCCTGACTAATGCGTGGCCATCTCCTTCCTCTACCATAACGAATTGCATCCGTAACTCTATCACAGTAGCTATTCAAATCACATCCCAGAGTTGCCAGCGATTGATTCCAATAGGAAGCAGCACTATCCTTTTCAGCGTAATCGGTGACTAAAACTGTAGCGACAAGAACAAACCAACAGCTGGTGCACGGTTCAAAGCAGGTGGCCACGATACTGATGAGAATGAGAGTGATTATATAAGGAGCCCAGAAAGAGGTGCATATGTACCGTATTTCCGGTATCCATTCTTTGATTTTGGCCCTAACATCATAGGAGTACATCAAAGTCAAACCTTTTCAAGGTAAAATTTAAATCTTCATTGCCGCTAAATTTAATGTGACGCCATAACTTATCCTGGAATGTTGTGTTTCTCAGCTGTTCAGAAGCTGACACTGCCTGTTCATGAGGACTATTTTGCCCGTTGGTCAAGTTCAAGTAGCTTCAGTGTCATGTTTCCCTACTTTGTAAACTGCAGAAATACTGCAAATATTGTGCCACCTGACGAGCGGTTGGCAGTTTTCCATCTTTATTCAGACATAAGAATGCTCGTTTTTGATTCGAAGTCACAATGTTTGATAAAATGTCACCGATTGCTAGACTGTTTGCTTGCAACCTGCTTTCTAATCTTAGCAAAAAGATCGACAACCTACTCAGTAACTAATGAACATCCCCAGGTTGCCAAAATGCACTTGTATTACTTAACACTATGGTCTGCTGAAACGAAATCATCAATCATCGACATTAAATAATGGTCTGTACGGGAAATTCTATAACAGATTGAACATAGGGCAAGAAGGACATGCTTAAGCGGCCTTCCAGTTGATACAAAGTCGTGTCCCCGTATTCCATGGAAATCAAAGCAAATACTTAGGACCTAACATAAAGGTCGCATAGCATTCCGAAGAAATTTCACCGTTAACATATAGGACTATCAGAGAATTGGCTTTAAAACTAAGACACCTCACCAAACGCAAAAGCAGGACAAAGCATTAGCTGTAACCATGGCCAACGCAGTTCAATATCTTCATTCAGGGTAAGCAACACCGAATCGTGTGACCTCGGGAGGCCAGTGTGTTGATCCTCCTGATAGTCTACTTTGAAACGTTTCGGGACGCAAACGCCGCCTATGATTTCAGTAGGTTCCAATGGGGGTTCGACACACAAGGGTGTAGAGCCAAAGCGGGGCCGGGATCTAAAATGAAAGAGAAGGAAAAATTTATATTCAAGCAAAACGTGACCATGTGTAACAAGATACTACCTTACCGGTGCCCTAAGTTTGAACGCTGTCACACTAAAAACGGTGCGTTGAACGATCGCTCTTTTCTGTGGGTAAATCGCAATGTCAAATTCTATTTTGCTCTTTAGCTGCGAGCTTGAGAAGATCCCTCCAACAAAACAACAAAGACAGATTTAAAAGTCTCGAAGAGGAGTTTGAAAACCCTACTTAATTGCTTTAAAATGAATGTATTTATTAAGACTATCTGTAAATTGTAGATAAAATTGAGCCAGTTGTATTAAGCACCGGTAAACGCAATCGCTTCATAAGTGTAGCTTGGGACTGAATAGTTGAGGGCATAAAACGCTCGTGATACAAATTCCAACCTTTACATGTGGCAGACTAAGTGCACTTTCTACCTTCCTCTTGGTCACCACTTAGCCAGCATCAAATCATAATAGGAAAATTAGGCTGGTGCCAGAAAAATTTCGGCATAACCAGCTGAGTGGTGGAAAACAGTAATTTTACCACTGGTGATCACCTGAGCTGTTCCTGTATCTGGTCAAACAAAACAAGCCACTTACATGACCGGCTACAACTGGTGTACAAATAGCCCGATGACATATTCATTTTACTCACAACTGGCCAGTTGCCATAGGGACGAATGATCCTGTGTAGCTTATCTAAGTGGTCTGACTGCATGTCCCCCGTAAATAGATTGATATCACCTTGAAACAGGTCACAACGTACATATTCATCAACGGTATCTACCACCCGGTCGAGTACAAAATGCCTTTTTAGCGTCCTAACTAACTAACAGCATACTGATAGGAATAATCAAGCATGACTGCTTCATGCTCTATCCAAACTTATTGTAAACAACTGTTAATGGTACAAAACACATAGATTCTGGTGGGAAAACAACTCAAATGCTAGTTTTCTCCGGCTTCATTGCAACCCTGGCTACCAGTCAGCCCATCTGAGTCTTGAACTCGTGCTGCGCTCATTATCAGCGTGCCAAAAGTAAATCTTTAAGTTTCAGTTCACATGCTCACTGGTCAAAATTGTGGATGCTTTATCTGCCCCCACCCTCACCACCCTTGAGTGGTAAACTGTTTTTGACATCTTGGATTCTATGGATCTAAGTATGATTTTCTGACAGAATAAACATTCAAAAAGTATGCTTGTTCTCTAGTCCTTGGCCAGGTTAATGGCCCACCAGAAATCGTTCTAGATTATTTAAGATTAGGGATGTTTAACTAGTCCAGCAAAACCAAGAGATGATATGTCGCAAGGAAAATATTTATAATTCTTAAGAAGTAGCAGGGAGTCATAATCCTTTTTATCGATCTTGTGAAGTTTTGCAGTTGATAGAAAGGTATATGTTAATTTCTTGGAGTCGCCTTTGGGCTTAAGTAGATTAGTATTCAGTGGCAGATTCATATACTAAATGCCAGGAAGCTGTGCAGTTATACAACTCTTTAAGTATTGATAATTTGTTTGACCTTGTACACTGAAATTCAATTTATGTCGCCCATCTTCTTTCCACTTTTAAGCAAGTGCCGCGTGGCCTTCTTTACGAATCCATCCCTTGATTTACCAACTGCACGTCTTCTGCAAACATTGTGCAAACCTTGAATATACGGCTGATCAGATCTTTTCATCTTATATTCTCCTGGCACCAAATGTTGTCGACGGCCTCCATACATCACAGCCAATTCATTCAAACTGTCAACATGGTTTCATTCACGTCAGCCGGTGTCTACTTGACTGGCAATCACACATGTGAAACCAAACTACCTAGCGATAGATGTAAGCCGCCACTATGTGACACATGCCGAATTTTCCAATCATTTACAAATCCACCTAAGGATGGTGGAGGAGTGTTAGTATGAGATAGTTTTTTTCACTTTTATTGCTTCTAACAATACCAGCTGACACAGTAGTATCAAAATGCAACTTCTTGGAAATCTGCGTCGTATGAAATTGCAATTTGCGTCTGTCAGGAACCAGGATGTCATCTTTACGAAAACTGCCATGAGCAGTTGCTCATCTTCAGCGAGAATTGGGCAGTTTCGAGGTCCCAAGTCAACTGTGGGAAAAAGCAGCACAAAATGATGTTTTCTTTTTAATTGAGCTGCTTACCGTAAATCGACTCTCTGGTATTTAATGGCAGACGCTATTTACAGTCACGTAATTTGAGGGTTACTTCAAGCCCGAATTTTCGGCTTCGGTTAAAATTTAACTCATGCCCCAAGTAATAAAACAGTCAAAAATAAAATCAATTGTTTTTTTAAATGAGCTTTTTAGTCTTAATTGGTCCAAAAAGATTTGCGAAGGCTGTATAAACGCAGAAACCTTTGTTTTTGACCGACACATCTAAATGATTTGTTCATAAATTGACTTTAGCTTATAAAACACTGGAAATAAATTAGCATGTTTTTAACTAAACTTAGCTGAATACGCACCTTAACCTATTAGGTGCCAGGAAGGCAAATATGAGGTATGCCCATAGTCAATAGAAGCCTTTTCAGTAGCCGAAAACGCTGTTTTTTATCAAGAATTACAAGTTTTACTACATAATACTCCTCTAATCCCTCCGACCAGCAGCTTGGCCTTTTGACACCATCTGTATTGAACCGTGTCCTTACATTCATTTTGGTAACTGAGGACTGCACCGATTAATAGTAGCTCAATTCTCTTTTATTACACACTTAAACATGCCTGAGCAATCTTACTACGTAATTGCTGTTTAAAAAGACAATAAATTGGTAAACCCGAGTATGTAAACAAACAGAGGCTCCTACAAATCCAGGTTCTCTAAAAGCTTTAGGTCCAATTCATTTTCTTTTTAACTTCAAGCTAGCCCAAAAAATTTGCTTTCAAATAATATCCTATAACTGTTTCGCCCGTAAAATTTGCGTGAAAAGAATACAAGTAACTAACCGTCTTGCTTTGGAGAAAACTGAGATTTGTTCATTTGATAAGTTTATGGAATTACAAAACAAAAAAGGTACCTTGATCTTTACCGTAAGATCAGCAGCTAACAGCTTGTAAAGACTAAAGTTTTGCCGGTTCTGTTAAAATGCTAACGTACTTCAATTACACCTCGTTAATTTAGTCTGATGTTCACGGAAACAATTGGCGCACTTATGACGGCATACTGAAAGAATCAAAATGTCTTGTTTGCAGCAGATTGTACCTCATATTTAGTGCACAGCACTGCAAAACTTGAATTTAAGTCCATTTTGTCTAAGCGGTTTTACATAAAAACGAGCAAAGACTCGTTTATAACGACGCCAAAGTGCCCGTGGCCGTTCAAGTACAATCCAGTCATTTTGAATGTCCAAGGTGCTCACAGCTCCCTACAATCCATGGTCTAGCCTGCTGTTGCGCGATCTTTCCCTTGGTGTACAGTAAGTATATACGACCTAAGTCATGAACTGCATCCTAGACCAGACTTATCAATCGCCCTACGGGCTGAAGACCTGTGTTAGGATCAGAATCATCAAGTAAGCTGTAAAACGCAGCCTGACTTTGAAGGAATAAAACATCCAGACTACGAAAGCTAGGCTAAATTGTCTGCATGAATCTGGGAAGCAGTTTCAAACCTCTTTCGGAAAGACAAATGAAGTGAGTGTGCATGGCTTGTCACATGATCGTCGAAAAATGAAGCCGTTCATTTACTACCAAGACAAACTGAATACTGCTTTTACTACAGACAGCTATAAGCCCAAAGTGGACTCTATTTTGCTAAAACAACATGTAGCCCTGCAGATTTATTACTGCCATTCTGACTTACACCCCTAATACCATCCTCCCAAGGGGCAGACTTCAAATGCATACGCTTCATTGCATCGGTTTTCGAACACAAGCCAAAAGAAACCAAAAGCAACAGTGCAGGTAAAATTGACAGTTTCAGAGCACTGGTTATCAGGCAACCGACCTAGAAAAGACTCAGGGGCTCTTACCCATCTTGCAACTTTGAAAAATATGAGAATGGCATTTTCATGCCGGCCCATGAATGTCACTAAAGGCCAAAGCCGGATAATACTTGCTTCATAACCTTTCTTGTGATTCCCATAAAAGCTACGAACTATACCTTAGTAAATAACCGCCAGGAAGTCATTGAGCGGCAATACATACTATTGTCTGCGTAACGCTAACGAATATACTACTCGCGCAAGATAGCTGGAATAATAACGCCAACTCCTGTTGAGATATACATCACTCGGTTTGAATTATCAAAGATCCCGAAAGAGGAGCAGCAGCAAATTTTGTTACAGAAGTGGGGCACTATCGTGTCCACTGGTTAACCGTACAGTGTATGCCTGAAGCAACTGCTGCAATCTATGGAACTATGGCAGAGGTGCTGCCAAAACTCCTTCCATAAATTGCGGCAGGCTTCAACGCTAGAGTATTTAGTGTTCCCGTTATTCGTTTCTGGGACATTTATAGTGTTTGGCTCCTCGAACGAAATTTTTGTCGACAACATAGAACAATACGAACCTTCTTGTTCCCGCCAATCACTAGAGAGATGGCGTACGTATGCCAGACAAAGAACTCACAGGCTTTTAGTATAAACATGGCGCGCGTAGCTTCCACATTGCTTCAAACTCCGCGCATATGAGTTAGGCTCATACAATTACTACGTTATTATCAAAAACATGAACTCAGAGACAAGCAGTTTAGCATAGTGTTGGGACTAGAATCTTTTGCTCCAGAGTTTTTTAAGCTTGACACTTCTGGGCATGGTGCAATGACATGCTACGTAAAAAGACACTGGCCATCAAATGAACATCCAGTCACGCATTCAATTATCAGTTACATTTGTTGTCTTAGATTGTACCATTTAATTTCGTGTCCGTAGTAAAAAGCCTGCTCAACAACACGGTCGTTTTGAATTGCGCTTTGTCGCTCTTTTCACCCCCTGTAACTGTTTGATTCTAGTTGTATCGTCTGGGTTCAGGATGACAAACTTTAGTCAAACCACGTCTTAATATGGCTATTTCCATAAGGTGTGAAATAATCAGATAGTCAGAGTGACGGGTGCTTGGTATGTCTCTATGGAACCCATACTTTTATGCGAGCTTGTGTGAGGAGTCGATTTTTCGTGGTTTTCTCTATGAATAGGGACAAAACGAATGAATGCTTCAAATTTCTGAGTAAAACTGATCAATATTTTGTGGTTGTGTTGATGACAAACGCTTCGTTTAAGAGAGTAAATCAAAATACAGTGAATACTGTTCACTTAGAACGTTGTAAATTGGTAAAAAATCAACAAATGATAATTTTCCACAAACTTATGGTGGCGTACTCATGCTGCTACCATTATATTCTTAGAAAAATTGAGAACACGATACAATAATGATAAATCGATCTCAAGAGAATTACTTGCATGAAATTCACAGCCTTGCGAATAGAATAGACGGTTATAAGGACCAAACAAAACGCGCACCAGAAAGTTCTATGAAACGCAACAAACCAACGTAAAAGCAGGTCGGTGAAATTAATCCATGGTCGAATTTAACAAAATCCAGTAAATGGCGTACTATAACCAAAAGTTCTGGCTACGGGTTTTTGAAACGTTTTATAGTTGTTCACTCACTCCCGCATAAACTGTCTTTAAAACATCATCTGGAGTTTGATACTTACTCCAAAGACAGGTCGATAATTTTCCATGGCGCTCCGAAACTTTGGAGCTTTCATTTTCTAGTGGTTATCTCGGTGACGTAAACTTCGTAAACATTACATTACATCATAACTATGATTCCTATGAGGACTTTCTGTTTTCCAGTGCATCAGTCTGAAAGTAACTGTGTGACTATGCACCGAGGAAAAGCAGTCCTTAAAGATTATTTCGGCCCAATGAGATCACCGGGTTGTTCCCTCAGTAGAGACCGACAAGGATGCGTACATTACCATTACACGATTCCCCCCATCCATTACACTGAACACTGGCCAAATTTGGTGTTTCCTCTGAAGAAGGTTTTATAGCATTCCAGTATTAAACTTCTGAGTGCAAGCTTTTAAAGGCGTAGTTGAAGGTTTCTCAGCCACCTTCCTTTTGTAGTTCTCTGGGTGCCCTGGCAAATTTCATCATGATGTGTATCAGTTATTCTAAAGCCTCAACTCTCCGGCCTGTCTCGAGATTGCAGGACGTTATCGAAAATTCCAAGATTCAATCCGTTATGCGTTGATCATTTTGGAGAATATATGTGGTAGTAGATGTTTAATCTATTTTAACTAGGTTCAGCCAAGCGTCAGGGTTCATGGTGAGAAAAATAAGCTGAAATTTGACTAATTACACAAAACCAGATCTTACCCTCGAAGACTGGCAGGAACTCTGCAGTCACATAGTGCGATATCATTGTCTATATACGTTTTTTCGATGGTATCCACTGAGTGAATCCTCTCTGGCGTACAATTATGCACACAGATGGGTACCGAATATGTTGGATTCATAAAATTTGTGTGCATTAGGAACCTGCAGGCTAAGAATTTATTTCAAAGGAAGTCACTTTTTCGAACTCATATCCACTGCCTCCAATGCTGGTACAACATTGTTTTTCATTCCACAGATATTTCCGTAGCAATCATAATTTTCGAAAATTATGCTGAACTCACTCGTGGATAACATATACACCACCGAACTCAGCTGTTTTACAATGCTATGAGATTAATCGCGAAACGAACCGCTATGACAAAAATAGACACAACTGTTACGGCAAACGGAAAATCAGTGCACATCTCCACAGCATCCTCCAACAGTTTGTAGTTGCATTGCTTACAGTGTCGGGCTGAAAATATCATTTTAGAAGAGTTAAACAAATCCCGTTCGTTCATTTGCTCACTGTAGAAGTTCGGAGGGAGAACCCTCTACTAGTGTCCAATTTCACAGGCAGTATCATTGATAATAAAGCCCGATAAATTGGTCAGCCCAGCCTGTGGGCTCTTGTCTTTGCTCCTCTTTCAGGACGCGATCTGTGTATATGAGAACGCCGTCGTCCAACGGGAAGCACCTGAATCTCCCTAACCTATTTCTACACTGAACGTTGTGCCTTCTCCAGAAGGTCGATCCTGCCACTGTTGATGAGAAATCACTCATTTATGGAATGAAACCTAAGAACGAGGAGTCCATCCAGGCTTCTCGATTCATGTTCGTTTTTATTGTAGCAGTCGCTTCCTTCGTGTATATAGGAGGTTGCTTTCGTTCAGCGACCGTCGGAACATCAGATAGAGACATGTGGCTGAGCTGATCGATATACACTCCGGGATACCAGATTGCAATTATCTAGCCCCAACGTGCTTAGGTGGGTTTTCTAGTGTCCGAGCTCACAAGTGTTCCCATATGGTATTGCTAACAATAGAGTGCAGGAAGCTTCTGCGCTGAATAACGCTAGTTGGATGCTCGTTGAAATGTAACACAGACAAATGTCTTGAAAAAGCTTAAACAGCTGTCGATTCTTTTCGTTCTTTCTGGGGATATCCGGTAGGTATGGTCCCGCGGTCTCCAGCAATCTTTAGTTCCGCTTGAACGCTAACTGCGGGCAATTCGCGAGACTTACTCATTTGCCTGCGCGACACTCAAGTGAATCAAAAAGAATCTTGTTTACTTTTTCTTCGCGGTTCCGTCTCGTCAATGTTGGATGAGGCAAATCGCCTGGAGCAGAGTGTTTTCTGCAAGCCTCAGTCAAATCTTCGGGTTGTTTGTGAGTCCTGCTTTTCCATCACTCGGGGAGAAATAACTTGGCGCACTTTTTGGTACTGTCCCGTGTACTCCAATAACTTATTGTTGGTTTTTCCGGCGACGTGAAACATAATTGCTCTGTTTTTAGGACCATTTTCCGAATCTCCGACAGAGAGCGGCTGTGCAACTTGCGAAATACCAGCTCATTCTCCAGATCTCTTGAGCCATCCTGATGAAAAGCAGTTTCACCTGGGGAGGACTTTTGTCCCTTAAGACCCTTGTAGTGGATAGCGCTAGCAAATACCAGTTCTAAGTAGTTAAATCAAGTGAGTAAAAATAGGCGAGATGATACAACTCACAGTTCGGTGATACAGTTAGTTATTATCACCACAATAAACCCAAATCGATCTCCTCCCTGGAACCTTCCTTAATATATTCCTAGATACTTTCTATCCCGTCGTAGTCTGAAAGGTAGATCACCGCTTATTAATTCGTTGACAGCGTAACTCGACACAGCAAGAAGGGACCACGCCTTTCACTAAGTACAGAATTTGTATTGTGTGTATGCATCCATATTTCTTTGTTTTAATTCAAACAAAAGTTATTCGTAATGAAGAGAAGAGGAATAAGCTGAGCTTTAGTGAGAGATGGAAAGTGGTACAATTTGAGTAATGATGAGTTACAAAGAAAGTGCTGATGTACAATGGTCAAAAGGATCACCATACCCTCACTGGATCCCTCGAAATGAGTGCTGCATAACAGTCTATCCGTGGCCGGCCCGGGGGGTTGTCAGATTGTTTTGGGCGAGGGATGTGCCCGGTGAGCTGCTGATCACAACGGTCATCATTGAACTCCACCCCGGATCAACAGAAAGTTAAAACATCTCAGTGAGGCTGCCTTTCCTTACAGCAAGGATAGCCTGGATGGCATACACGACTAACATGCCATCGGAGGCAAACGATGCCTAATCAACTGGTGAGGTGCGACCCCTGCCGACAACAACGGAGGACCTGACTAGCAAGCCCCAATCCATGGCAGCTGAGAAAAGTGAATGTTCTCGCTTGGGTAGTAGTTGTAGGGCTTATTTTTGTGCTGTTCGCTGGTCCGTGTGGCGCGATACTTGCAGGTAGTGGCGGGAATCTATGCGCCAGTGATATGACAAGTCAAAAAAATACTGGTTGGAATCCCCAGGCGAGCCTTGTGGTGGAATGCGTCGGCTGTTGACATGGAGTGTCTGTAATCAAAATGCACAGGGTTGTTACGATATGCATCCGTGGGGATTGTGAATATGGAAATAGCTCATCATCGCAGCTGAACCTAAAGGCCCGCATTTGTGCCGCCCACTTGTCCATGACAAGCGTCTTCAGTCGACACTATTCGCCAATCACCCTCCTGCCCGAGCTAAGCTTGCGCCATAGGAGCAAGCTGCCGGTTAACACCATAGAATGTGACCGAACACCCGGTACATATGCTACCTGCGATCCGGAAGTAAAAAATTTATAATTACGGGCCACAAAAGTTCTTCAAGAAAGTTCACCTGCATCGATTTGCCGCGCGTTTTACTGATACTTTGTCTGGGAAGCGTCGGAACAGTGCCATCTGCTGCCATTCGACGAAGGTTATGCGGCTTTACTGACATTCTTTCGACTGCAATACAGGCATATGCCCGGACTTGCCAGGCTTCGCCATGGCCCAAGACATAGCAACCGCTGCAATACAACCCATCTTGCCGCCACTTACTCAACGGTGCAGGTTGACAGCTTTGTGGCAGTTGTAGATGCCCTCCTCGAAACTATCGACCACAAAAAGAGAGCACTTCAAATTAGGCGTTGCGCATTTTAGCAAGTTCCCAATTCTCCTTCTAATGGCAATCAGTTTGCGGGGGGTCACTCACACAATACTTGATTAATTCATAATTGTGTATAACCCGATAAGAGGTACCGATAGACGGTTTACGCGTCTATTTAGACAAAACGGAGTGGGCAACCAGCGCTTTGTGTACTGTTTGCGCTCAACCTACTGGCCATTCGGAGTCCTGAACCTTCTATTGGCTTCTGGAATCGAATGGCTCAATATATGCGAAAGCTTTGAGCACGAGTGTGACCCCGGAGGCTTGAGGTTTCAAACCTGTGATCATGATTCCTGATGACGGATTGGATAAACCACCAAGCTTGGTCCTGAGGGCATTTTCTGGCCTGACATATACCCCGCACAACTTATTGCGGGTTGACAAACATTGGTACAATCCATTTTGAATAAGCCAAGAGCGCCATGAGCAAAGGGGACATTTAAGCTTTTTGACTGCTTGTCCTGGCTCTATAAATGTATTTGAGCGTCCTGTAATTGGCCGGAATTTCTCAAAAAAAGTGCAGAAGGCAATACGCACATTTCCGAAAGTGGACCAAAACTATTCTGTAACTGCGTATTCTGTGATACTTGCGGAGTTCAAACGAGTGTTAGCATCAGGCTGAAATCCGCAGTACCAGTGTGACGGCGTATACTATTGATTAAACATTCTGGTGGTATGTGGTTTTCTCATAAAGGAAGAATTTGGCTATTACAACAAATTCTGTGTTACGTATAAGTCAAGCAACGTAACAAGTGAAACAACGGCACCAAATATAGGTACCAGTGTGACAGTATGTGCTACCAATGGGGTATTCGAGTAATCCGTTGTCTAGTTTCACAGCCCCCTTCGCATCTGAGGGAAGGTGAAGTTTTAGTACAAAAATTGTGGAGTTGCCTTGCAGTATGCTTCTTTTTATCGTGTAGCGGTTAATGAATGTCCAGCAAAGCTCCAGAGGGCGCGAGAGCATGTTCAGTTTTTGAAAACTGTGTGCTTACGAGATATTTGCTTTTGTGTCTAATGGCTTGTAACTGCTTACTTTCTGTTTTCTAATAAGTAATTTTGCAATGAATGGCTATCTTCCTTTTATTTGGTACCATGTTGAGAAACTGAAGTATGTCAGTGCAATGTTGGCATTGCAATGCCATGCCCAGTCTGGCAGCACTCCTGCAAATATTGTCTTCCACCCTCGGCCGTCACCCGTCACCATATCGAACCCGTAATTGCAACCACGAAGAATTTTTTCGCCCGGCCTCACCCTCCTCTAGGACGAGTTTTTTCTAACCCGCTGGACCTTCCGTTTGAATTTAACCTACCTTGTTTTCCTCCGTAGTTTCGGTTCCATGTTCAACCTTATTTGTTTACGGTTTTCGTTTAGTCCCACGCATTGGTGCTATCTCCTCATCGAAACCATACTTTACAAGTGAGTCCCCCACGGCAGCGACCCTAATGTGTATACATAGTTTCAACTAAAACCATACTTTAAATGCGAAACTTGCCATTTAACTCCACTTCGAATTTTTCCATCTTCATCTTCATTTTTGATTTTTCTGACCCTGGCCATTTACTCAAACACTCATGGCCAGCAATGATTTTGTGTTTTAGTTCATGTCAACCGGCTTTATCCTTGAGCTAGTCGTGCCTCCTGCCAATTGTCCTTGTTTTACTGATTCCAACAAGCGCGCTGACTTTTCACGTAAGGAGCATGTGTCCTTGGGTGAACCTTTCTCTCCGTCGTTTTGTTGCCTGCCGCGCTTACGTTGTAACGAAACGATCAAGTGTCAGTTGACATGTTCTTTACGAGTTGGGAAATAAACCCATTATCGTCCTTTAGTCACGACCTATTAAGGATGGGGATATGCGGACCTTCCTGGAGGACTTCGAGGATTTGCGGAGGTAGCTGAACTGAGGTCCGACCGGAGCGAGTCGGCGATACCGATAAACCTGCTCGGAAGCCAGATGATGGCGGCCCCAGATGCGGTCAGAAGATGCCCCGGAACTGGGCCAGTGTAAATAGAACTCTTAAATTAGCCGACCGCCAGTGGGTTATGGAGCGATTTAAGGCGGTTGTGATGGGACCGAGAAGAAATCCGACGGCCAGTTT